GTACCAATCACTATATTTCTCCATATATTTCTGTTCTTGTAAATTGTTGCTTCCACCACCTTAGGACGCCATTTTATACACTGCCTTTTCTTTAAATCTCTCTCTTTCTGAGAATTTCTTCAACTTTATCCAACAATGAGTTTCCCATTAACCCTTTTTTTATCGTCCACTCTTCCTTGTTTTGTGATTTTTCCCCCTTTCTATTTGATTAAACCACCATCATGTACTTCTTCTGCAGTGCTCTCTAATTCTTTTGTTCAGTCTACATTCTTACAGCAGCCATTCATTCTTATCTCATTTTATTTTGCATTTGTTTAATATCTTGTTCTTGTGTAAAGTATTCATTTTACTATTTCTCCTCACATTACCTAATTCTCACTTCCATATAACAAAATGGACAATAATGCTCTTATCACAATCATTTTTATGCTTTCAACACATATTCATTCCTTGCAACAGACTATAAATTATTATCTACCATTTTTTCCAGGATTTGTACATCTTAAAGTTTCTCAGTTTTCCTAGCTTTTAAAGCATTCTAGCAAAATACATAAATTCATCTACTTGCTCTAGTTTTTACTATTTACAATTTTTCTTCATTTTTCCTCTTAACCTCAACTACTTTAGTATTTGATACATTAATTTTCAGATTCATATTCTCAATTAGATCATACAATGTGTATCATTGTTTTCAGTCAACAACCTGGCATTATCTGCCTACAAAATATATGCATTCACATTTCTGTGGAGAAAATAGGAGGAGAAAGGTGTGTTCGCAGTAGTGGGATTCAGCTGGTTTGCACTTCGGCAGAACCAGTAGCTAATTTTTTGTTGTCCAGGCCCGGATCGGACTTCCGGAAGCGGCATCCACACAGAGAACCGATTGTTCACATATTTGAATCCCACCACTGTTTGTTTGGATATGTTCATTGCCTTGAGTTATTTGTAAAAATAATAAAAGTGGGATACAAATAAATAAATACAGGAGGAGAGAAGGAAATAGTATTAGGTATCTTTCCTACCTTGAGTTATTTATGAAGAAATAAAATTTGGGATTAAAAATATCAAATAAATAAGTAAATAAATAAATTTCCCTCAGGTCGATTTTATCCAGTTTCAGTTGTAATGGTTAATGCTTATGAACATGATAACTGGAGCCACAAAATAGCTATGTGGTTTCTCATCTACAACCCCCCCCCCATTTTCAATAGTAGCATTAAGACATTGGAGCACTTTCGTATTTCAAGTAATGGCTGGAAATATGATCATAGAGAGATTTCGTTTTGGTGTCAGGCAAGAGCTTTGCTTTTGTCGACCTTAGGAAAAATCTGTCCACATTTGGGCAGATTGGAAGCCCCCAAGACATTACAGGGTATGCATGTTTAGCAGAGACCTTTAAGAACCTTTAAGAACTTGGCAAGAGAAGTTGCCAAGTTGTCTGCGCTGAAAGAGTACCAAAATGAGCTGGGATGTCTGATGGGAATCCACAGAGAGGCTCTTCCTGGCCACCAGGAGGAGGTGCAGTGCTGAAAAAAAAGGGGGCATCTGCAGATGGCAAAATCCTTCTTTCTGCAAAGGATAAGAAAAAAAAACCAAATGAGTGAGAGACAGAATATAGAGGAAAGATGATTTTGGTACAGTTTTTCTTTGAAAAATTATGGCCCATCTATATACTGGGAAAGTTGTTTCCATGAAAAAGGAAATGTATTTGGGGGGGGGGCATTTTTTTATATGAGATCCCCAGGATGGGATCTCGTATAAAGAAATATAAATTATATGAGAGCCTCAATGTGATCATTGCGTTGAAATGCTATTGTGTAGCTTATTGTGTAGTCTTAAATAAAAGATTGTCCCTCAGCAATAGGGGGCTAGGTTCTCTTTGCAATATTACTGAAACACTTTGCATGGTTTATTTGCACTGGTGCTCAGCCTGTTGGAGATAGTTTAGTAGATTCCTACCTGAACAGGGAAATTGCACTAGATAACATATAAGGTTTCTCTCAACCCCAATAATTCTGTGTTTCTTGATTCTACAATTACAGAATTTGATTTCACATGTTATGAAAGAGAGATAGATCACCAAGAAGCAGTGCATAAAGTATGTCTGAAATTGTAGAGAGTGTATCAAGAAAGTTAAAGATCGGAATAAGCTAAGTACTACGAAAAATAAAAAAAATCAGATTCTTCAAAATAAATTTTAAAAAACAATTACATGAATTAAAAATGAATTATTTTGATTACATAAACTAGCTTATAGAAAGAAGAGAGCTATGACATAACTTTAGAGAAAGATAAGATAAGGTAAGATAAGGTAAGATAAGATAAGATAACCTTTATTGTCATTTTTATACTGTGGGCACAATGGCACACATCAAAAATGAAATTTAGTTGCCCGCTCTCAAAGTAAAACACATACATGACACAAACCTAAACATACTATGAACAAATATGTATAGACCCACATCTCTACATATAGGTAGCAAATAAATATTAAATATTGTCCATCTTGAATATATAACGGAAGGAGGAAGCTTGAGAGTTCGCAAGGTTAATGCTGTATGTAAGATGTAAACTTAACAATTGAATTTGTTATAACTGCTATAAAGAAGATCATAAGCTACTTCTTTATATCTTTTTTCTTTCTTTTCTATTTTTCTACTTTTTCTTTTTGCACTTTAGTTTTTTTATTACTTTTTCTTTTTACTTCCTCTTGGTATTAAGTTTGAATTATTTTTTTTCTTATTTTTCAAAACCTTAAATAAAATTATATTTTTAAAAAGAATTAATCACAGGGCACTCACAGAGGACAACCAAATGCTAACACATTACTCCTATTTGGTCTCTGGGAGGCAGTTTGTGGTCCACCACAAAGCAGTTGTGAAGACAGAACAAAGAGGCGGGATTGAAGCTTGAGATTGACAGAACCATGGTCAATGGATATCTATTTACTTGGAACCTAAATCTCCAGAGACAGATAAATTGCATCCTAGGATATTAAAGGAATTTGCTCATGAGCTAGCCAAATGTTTATAAAGTCTGAGAAACCCTGGTGAGTGGTGAAGTGGCTGATGATTGGAAGAGGGCAAATATTACCCCTATCTTCCAAAAAGAAGAAGAAAGAGATTCCAAAGAACTACATACCAGTCCATTGACATCAATATCTCATCAGATTCTGGAGCAGATGATAAGGAGATTAATCTATTAGTACAGTAGTTACCAGACTTCAGCAACAATTTGTGAAGAACAAGTCTTGCCAAACTAATCTTTTCTTATTATTGGTTAGCTAATTTCCTTAGTAGATTGTAAAATGCTTTGCAAAAATAAAGATATAACAGAGTTATGTGCAAAATTTCCATGATATGGTAATTAGCAAGTACTGTAGGAGCTGGATGGCATGATAGTTAAGAGTTACATACAGCAGGCTCAAAAATCATATTCAAAAATAGCCATCAATAGCTCCTTCCGAAACTTGAGTAAGTTGAGGAATCAAATGGGGCACTGGATCTTTCCAGGTTTTTATAAATGATTTGGATGAAGAATTTTGAGAAAATGCTAGCTAAATTTCCAGATAACTCATAATTGGATGGGATCGCTCCAGAAAACATATAAAATTCAAAACTATTTTGATAAACCAAATAAATGGGCTGAAAAAAATGAAATTTAACCATTGTTCATTTAGAAAAATAAATCAAATTCACAGGGAAAGAGGGCTAACATATGTGAAAAATATCTAGTAGTTAATAAGAATCAGCAGTGTGATATGGTTGAACAGAAAAAGCAAATGCAATTTTGGGTTATATCAACAATTTCCAAGTAACAGAATGCAATTCTATGTTACTCTTTGATGGTCAGACTCCAACCTGAGTATTGTGTCAAATACTGAGCAACACACAATTAGCCAAGAAGTTAATTTTAAGAGCATCTGCCTTTATAGATAGACTGTGTTTAAAAGATATTATGAAAGAGGAACAGGCTGATTTGAAAGTGAATTTAAAAATGACAAGCTCCAAGAATGACATGGAGAAAGATGTTACATTGGACATACAAAAAAAAATTGGCTGATGTTTTAACAATTACAAGTAGTATATAAATAACAAACTAAGTGAACTAGACATTTTTTCTATATTGGATTTACAAAGGAGGCTTGTTAAAGCTTTGAAGAATTTTGTGAGAAAGGACAAAGAACATATTAAAAGAAATCAAGTTCTAGAATGTAATTTGAAGGGGCTAAAGATCAAGATTGTTAGAAGTAAAAAGAAAGCATATTCGATCAAGTTTAAAACAGATACGTTTCTAACACTAGTAACCCTTAGTTGACATCAGGATTGAAATTACAAAGTTTTATGGACTTGTTTATAGATAAGAGATGAAATATGAGAAGAAGAGATCATTTGTTGTATTTTAAGAGAAAAAATGTTTATACTTGTTGTAATGGAGAAGTCACTTCTTTATATATTTCTTTTTCTTTACTAAATTCTTATTTTTTCTTTTCTATTTTTCTTTTTCTACATTTTTTCTTTTCTTCACCTTTCATTTTTTTCTTTTCTTTTTGAGTTTGTATTAGTTTTTAGTGTTGCAAATCTTTCATAAAGTTATTATTTTTTAAAAAAAAGGAACAAGAGATTGGGCTTAATGGCCTTAATGCCCCCTCCATCTATGGTTTTATTCGACTCGATGTCTGAGAATCTCTGAAGTTTATCAGATAGTGCCAACTTACATCTGAAATTTGAATAGCTGGTATGCAAAACAGACACGTCTGTGCAGACTGATCCCATCAATTTGCCCAATAGGGATATGCATAGCTGTGTTTCCAATTTCACCATACTGATCAGGAAAGATTTGGCTGCAAATGAAATACAACCGTTATGTTACAACTGTGTCGCTTCCATCAGCCAATTGCCTTAGGGTTCCAACTGCATCAACTCCTTCCACACAATGGGTTCTAAGGGCATTAGTTGCCAGGTGTTCTTGTATACATTCACTGAAGGCTGTCTCTAACAACTTTAATCATTACTTCAAGTGAGATCCAAGAAATGTTGAATCACAGGCAAATATTAATGAAACTGGAAAAAAGGTATTACTTTATTTCTTTAAGAGTCAAAGCAGGTACTACACATATTTCTATCAGCATGTTATTATGTGAAGAAGAGATGAGTCATTGGGGTAATCAATGAGCGACCTCTCCCTATCTTTAGAACTGGATAGGCTGAGCTTATTGGCAGATAGGCTGAAAAATGGTTTGAAACTGCTGGAGAATTGCTTGCTTCCACTTTAGTCCTTATCTCTAGGATTGCCCCTCTTTGTCATTTACTTTCCATGTCATTATTTGCTTCAGATTTTCTAGAGGGCTTTCTGTTTTTGTTGTTTTAGATTTTGCTAATTGATCTTTATGAGCATGCTTACTTTCCAGTGGGCTGGGGAACAAAGAAGGAAATTATTTTTTCAAGATGTTTTATTAGAAATAGATATCGGGGGGCAGCAGCAACACACATTGTGTGTTTTTGTTCTTACCATTTAATAGAACATTTTTTATTTTTGTGATAAAAAATTAAATGTAAATCAGCAAAAAGAAACCACTAGTTAAAGTTTCTTATTTTCTGAGCAACATAAATCAATATCCGACACTCAGGAGTAGCTGTTGAAAGGAAAATCTTTGGTCATACATATGACTTGCTGTGAATCCTGAGCGAGCAAGAACCACAAACGGGAAACTTGGGCAGCAATCCTATGGCCACTTACTTAGAATGAATTCACAGTGGGACTTGCCTGTGCTCAGACATGTACAGTGCTTCACTGTCTGTTAACTTTGATAGGCACCTTTTCTTAACGTACTTGTAAGCACATGTATAGCAGGCCAAATAGATTGACATTGCTTCAGAGCAGAATACCAATACTAAGGGTTTATACAGAACTCAAACAGTACTTTATCTCTGCTTCCAGCCAACTTTGAAAAATAAAACCTCAATAGAACTGAAAAGCTCAAGGTTGGGAGCTCCTTTGGCCCTCCCAAATCTGTAAAGGAAGTCTTGAGTGAACATTTCCTATATAGGAAGTTAATACATCACTAAATCTGCATGATCAACTTGGCTTTTATATCCATTAATTGAATTCATGTACTAGTCAGAATTGCTTTAGGGGCCAAGCAGTGAATTCAACATCCAGGTTCTCCAGTTGTGCCACATTGAGCACTTAGTTGTTGCACAGTAATTATGAGGGTGGTTCAAGCTATGTGCTTTTTGAAGAACCCCATGAATGCTTCATCACAGCCATCATTCTTAGCATAGCTGTTTGAATGTGTGAACTGGGTCGTTTCAGTGCTGTCAGAGAGGTAAACATCCTTGTTAGCTTTATATTATGTGAGACAATGGCTTCAAATAACTCGCCCTTGTAGCACCAAAGGCATCTTAGAAAGGACTCCCCTTGAGAATTCTTTTAAAGGCCAGGAAAAAATCAGGGTTATCTGAAATGGGTCTTGCCTCTGGGAACAAACATGTCTCCTGGAGTGTAAAACTAAAACTCACTATTTTAACAAATCATGCAATCAGTTTGTTAGCTTTTGACTGAGTTTGTTTTGTGAACCTAACCACTGTGATCAGTAAACTGTGGGATTTGTTATTTAGCATACAGTGTGAATCCAGTTGGTTCTGTTGTATTGGATGAACCATGGCTTAACACAATATTTCATCCAATATATTGTTAACTGTGAAAGTAACAATTCTGCAAAATGCTTAGCCAGGTACGTAGAACCACACAAGACGACCCGTGGAACAAGATGCAGTGACACGCAGGCTCTAGGATGAGTTGCCTGATTTTAGGAGTATTCATCTCCCCTCTTATCCCACTCCCAGCTGCTCTCTCACCCAATCTAGCTTGGAATGTAGTGAGGGTTTGCCTGGATTGAACTTAATTCCAGACAAATCTCTCTTACTCTCTTTCATCTTCTCACAAAAGGCCTGTCCTCCTGTCTGATACTTGCACTGGAGCAGTGTTGTGCTTTCAGAAGATCCCTACCGGCAGGCAGCTGAGACCTCTGTGAGACCCCCTTGGAAAATAGTCTGTTCTTCTCCCACAAGTCTAGTAGGTGAAAAGAGGAAGTGTGATAGATATAGAGGAGAGAGAGAGAGAACACAAACTCTGTTATCTACTGCCTACAGCAAAGGCTAGAACTGGTGGAGATCCCAGCTTTGATCACATGAATGTTAAGGAAGCTATCCCAAATTAAGTAGATACTTTTTCCATTATAAGTGCCTAATCAAGATGCTGTGAAGATAAGGAACTGCAAGGAGGCTTTAAATGGGGCACCCCGAAGGAAGATGAGTAATTCTTTAGTCAGGGCAGCATTTAATGTTTGCAGTAAACAAGCTCTAGGCTATACCATGAAAATGAATATAAAAGCGGGTAAAGTAAGGAACTTATCAGAATGTAATGAAGTCTTTCAAACAAACTTTTTGTCTCCTCAAATAGCCTTTGGTTAGAAATGAAGCAACACAGAAAGCGAAGATTGGGGGGGGGGAGACTTTCCTAAATCCATTCACTTCAGGTGAAATATAAATGGATAAACACACTGGAAAATTAAGGGTGTTTTATGCACATGCTATAAAAAGCAATTCACATTGAAACCATTATTTGTTTGATTTCTTTTTCCATTTTCATAATTTGCTGGAACTTTGCTTTACCTTTTCAGCTTCTTTAAACCACAATGAAAATTCGATCTTTTTCTAGCTTAAAAGGTTTTCATCTTTGGGGATAGGAGAAGTTCATAAATACACAGGATTTGCTTGTTTATTTTAGCGCTCGCCCATTAATAACTGAAAATATTTTTGTGGTTCAAGTAGACATGCTGTACAATCACAAAGAAGTCAATAAAACTTGAGTTCAGGAAGTCAGACATTTCACTAAAAAAAACCCCAAAAAACCAAAACAAGCTTGCAACCATGTATGTATATATGTGTGTGTATGTATGTATGCTTGTATGTATACATATCCTGCATGGTGTCCCTAATTCTGCACAGGCCAATAGACAATCTAAAGGCCACCATACCATTAGAATTTGCAAACATCAATGTTACTGTACTTAGAAATGCTTGAAGATCATGCATCAAATAAGTAAATGGCAGCCAATTGGGACATTCAGTGTAATTTATATAATTGTCTATGGAGCCTGACTTTGGGTACACATACCCTGAGTGTCTTTCTGTGTCTGTGTGTCTGTCTTTCTGTGTCTGTGCGTGTGTACTGTATATATTATATATACATACACATGCATAGCATGTAAACATAATATGGGAGGGTGAGTGGCTACATATATAAAATGGGTAGGTAAATAAATAAGAGCCTATCTGCAACTTGAAGAACCAGTATAGTTGCTCTCCAGGGTTACTGCCATTTTATTCTGGCATGATTTCTAGACACAGACAACTGGTTAGAGTTAAAGGCTGCAGAATGGTAGAGCAGCCTGTTCACTGCGAGTCTCATGAGAACCTGGACCAAGCACGCACGGATGTTCTGTTTTCTTCAGCGGAATGTGCCCTATAAAGATGCTGCTCAAGGAGCAGAAATTGGCAGCAGCTCTGCCATGTGGACAGGAGATGTAGAAGTACCTACCACTGCAGACGCCACAGAAGTAAAAGCAGATGTAACATGAAGTAAAACGCATGTGTAAATGTAACTTTGGTTTTTCTTTTGTATTTGCACTGCATGGATTTTCCTCTGGTGGTTGCAGAGTGCTCCACAAGTGCCACTGTTACGGAGACATCTGGCCCAAGATCAGCCGTGATTCTTCATCTGACTCTTCATTGCAGGGTGCATCGATCTCCACTGCAATAAAAGTTCAGCTTTAAAAAAAAAAACAACCCGGCAATCATTTCCCTTTCACAGAATTCCCTGACTTGCCACTCCCTTTGTGGATGAAGAAGAAGTAGTAAAAAGAGAATCTTGGCATGAGGGTTTCAGACTTGAAAAGAGCAGCTGTGGGAATGTCAGCAGAAGAGAACCTTAGCATGTGGTGCAGGGGGAGGAAGAGATGAGAGACGAAGGAAGATCTGAGCGGAGGGCAGGGAACACTATCTTTCAGTGACAGCAAGCATAAAATTATATCACTGAGAACCAGTGTAAAGAGACATCTCTCTGGTTTATAGTAACTGATGGCTAGGATTTCAGACTGATGTCTGTGGGATTCTCCCTGGTGATATCACTACAGACCGAAAGCAGAGCCAGACCTCTATGTGATTCGCATATCCCTCTCCCTTTCCTGCCAGAAGGGAAAGAAAAAAAAGAAAAGAAAAGAAGGCATCACATGTTGGCAAAGAAGAGGCTGGGAAGAAGCTCTATCAAAGGTCGGAAGTGGGAGGTTTGGCTGGGGCTGGCGCCTCTGGAGGGCAAGGGAGCGACTCACCCTTCCCTGGTGAGGTCAGCCACCCACAGCACTTCCTGTGTGCAGAAGGGAAAGGGGGGAGGAAGTGAGAAAGGCAAGGCTGGGGATGGCAGAACTAGGCAGTCAGCCAAGGCTAGGAAGGCCAGCTGGTGACCCATACAACCATGTATGGAATGGCTCAGCTTTGCATTGGGTTGAAAGTCAAAGCAGGATGCTTCTGACCAGGACCAGCTCCCAGCGAGAAAACCCAAAAGTGGAAATCTTCAGCCTGCCCAGATATCTGATGTTCCATAGCAAAACTTTCTATTTTCCGTGATCAAAAGATTGACTGAGGGATTATGGGCATAAAGAACCAGTACTTTGGAAGAATGCAGCGGGAAATCAGCTACAAAGAGCAACAGAAATCAAGAGTTTATAGTTTCATCTGGAAGCAGAAACTTGATGGCTGAGATTTAAAATTTGTCAGAGGAAAAGGCCATTGGTTGCTGTCTAGCTATCAGACAAGTCATGATTCTCTTTTTTATACATACAGATAATTAAAAAATGTTCATAAGAGAAGATTAAAAGCTAATACAAAGTAAGAAAGAAAAGCAAAAAATGCAAGAAAAAGAAAAAAATTAAAAATAGAAGAAAAAGAAAAAAGATACAAAGTGGTTTCTGATATTCTTCATAGCAGTTATAAGTACAATTATATTTTAACGCATCTCTCTAAAGTTGCTGCTCAATGTGCTGCATAGCATGGGAGGATCTAATGCTAAAATAATGCTCTCTAAAGTTATATCGTAATACAGATAATCTTCAACTTACAACAGTTCATTTAGTGACCATTCAAAGTTACAACAGCCTGGAAAAAATGATTTATGGCTGTTTTTTACACTTATGACCATTGGAGCATGATCACATGATCAAAATTCAGATACTTGGCAACGGGTTCATATTTATGACGGTCGCAGTGTCCCAAGGTCATGTGATCCCCTTTTGAGACCTTCTGACAAGCAAAGTCTATGGGGGAAGCCAGATTCACTTAACAACCGTGTTACTAACTTAAGAACTGCTGTGATTCACTTAACAACCGTGGCAAGAAAATTGTAAAACGGGGTAAACTTCACTTAACAACTATCTTGCTTAACAACAGAAATTTTGGACTCAGTTGTGCTCATAAGTCAAGGACTACCTGTATCTTCTTTTTATAATCTGCCTTTCTAATATATCAAAGCCATAAATCAAAAGTTCATTTTTATACAAACGTCCATAAGAGATTTTCAGTCACAAATAAGTGTAGACAATCTACTCTTTACTCTAATTAAGGAAGTTAGTTTATTCATCTCAGCAAGATCCTTCTTTTGCTAACCATTCCTCCTATTGCAGGGGTCTTCAAACTCTGCCCTTTTATGACTCATGGACTTCAACTCCCAGAATTTCTCAGCCAACATGAGAAATTGGGTAGTGTCAAATCTTTCCATCTCTGTGCAAGACCAGTCATGATTCTCCTCATTATAAAGAAGCTCTGGGCATATATACCAGAAATTACTGCTTTGATGCTGTGGGGACTTAAAAGAGTTCTAATACACAATCCATATAGCATTAAACACTCATGGTGGAGATCCACAGAAATATATGCCTTGTTTTTTGACATCTCACACCCATCGTAAGCGCTACACGTAGTCCTCCACTTATGACCACAACTGAGCCCAAAAATTCTGTTGCTAAGCAAAACAGTTGTTAAGTGAGTTTTGCCCCATTTACGACCTTTCTTGCCACAGTTGTTAAGTGAATCACTACATCTGTTAAGTTAGTAACACATTTGTTAAGTGAATCTGGCTTCCCCATTGACTTTGCTTGTCAGAAGGTCTCAAAAGGTGATGACATGACCCTGTGACACTGCGACCGTCATAAATATGAGTCAATTGTCAAGCGTCTGAATTTTAATCATGTGACCATGGGCACACTCCAATGGTCATAAGTGTGAAAAAGTTACAAGTCACTTTTTTCAATGCTGTTTAACTTAAGCAGCCACTCAGTGAGCTGTTGTAAGTCGAGAACTACTTGTTCATAATGGCCCAAGAAACACAGTTTGTTGCTCTTACAGGAAGAATTCCAGAATTCTTCCTACTCTGCTTCCTAAAGAACAACAGAGTTATAGACAAAGGAACACTTGAAGAGAGAAATGTAGGGTCGCTATTTCAAAAGGCATGACGATGAAGCTTCTTGGATGAGAAGCAAAACATTTTCCTCTTCCTCAAAAAACAAAGTCCAGTTGCCTTTTGAAAAAGCACCTTTGAGGGCAGCTGTGACCTGGATGATGGAGAATCGCCATAGACCTATGAGCTCTATATTGCACAAATATATGGAATAGAAATTGTATCATCTTCATGTTATCTTAATGTGTGGATAGTATAAAAGTTAGAGGCTATTAAATGCATTAACCTTGCTTAATGTTGAATTATCTGTATGAAGATGGCCTCACAAAAAAACAGATGAAACCCTGTCCAATGGAAGTGAACACTAAAAAGAGAAAAGAGCTATCAGATTCAAAATATAGGAGATTTGAAGAGACCTTCATAAGACTGATTAATCAAGATCGATTATATTTTAAAACATGCCTTTACTGAAGCATGGTTTATAATTAGTTGTGCGATCCTATATGATCTAGCAAATATGCTCAATCCATTTGCTGAAAGCAATAACAGAAAACTGATGGAAAATTTACTCCAAATCAATGAGTTGAACAGCATTGTCCAAGTGATGCATTTTGTTAAGACACAGAATAATCTACTCAAACAATTTCCATTGTTGATATCCACCACAAGTGGCTTTTGCATCTTTCTTGTGCTTTATATTGACCAGAAGTTTTAAACACAAAAATACCTAATCTTTTGTTTATATCTATGAGGTGAACTGTAAAAGCTCTCTCTCATTCTCTCTCTCTCTCTCTCTCTTTCTCTCTCTCTCCCCCCCCACCACCCATTTAAAAACATCTAAAACCAGGGAGCAACCTATGTCCCTCAAAATTCAAAACCCTTTGCTTCTAAAGAGAGGGGGGGGGTTACAAATTCATTCTGTGTATCTTATCAGGCTCCAATCTCCCAGTGCTGCTGATTATTGATATCCTAGATGTCCCATTTTTCAAATATCAGAATAAAATATATAAAAAGTGTACTATAAGGACACAATTTGCATTATAACTTCAGCTGAAGTGTTTCTAAAATGTACAGTTCCTTGAATGCTTGTTCATATCATTTGTGGCACAAGCCTGCCATAGAAACATGAATCAGTCTGTGAAGTTATAGAAAATTTTCTTAGGCATAGTTATTACCATCCTGTGATGGAGCAGAAAAGGATGCACATTGTTTCCTTCTTCTCCCACAAAAGGGAAAACTCTTGAATATTATCACACAAGATGTATGATACTCTGCTGGTTTATACATTAGCATATGATGGGTTTTACTCACAGATCTGGAGGGGGGAATTGTATTACTATAGTCTTATTGCTGATGTTAAATAGGAATGAATTTTCCTCTTGCTGTTCTGCCTCTGTCAAATATGCCGCTGAAGAAGAGAGAAGCCATTTTATACGGTTTGGGGGAGGTACATCACCACCTTTTATGTAGTAAGAGCGATCACGATTAGAAGTATATTTGGTGTCTATTTTTTGGAAGATAGAGTTTTCTAACATCTCAAAAGCCTGGAAGTTCTAATAGCAACTCACATATAGGCCTTTGGTAGCAGATCTTCCTTGAACAACAACAAAAAAACATTAAAAATTACTGCTTTACATTGAGCTTCCTGATAGGACAGATATGAAATATCCTAGCAGTAATTTTTTATGCGTTATAATTACAAAAACTTGATGGTCCCAAGACTTACACAACAGGAAAAGACTGTTCAGGTAGGTGGCAGTGTACAAAATATGTCCAATTTCAAATAACAGAAGAAGATTATCATCTTGGGTCGCAAAAGATTAGCTGTTTATGTCACAAATATAATCTTGGTTGTCTCTTAGTTGTGGAGCCCATCTCTGCAATAAGTGGACTTAAAACTTTAGCTGAAAACCTAAAAAACCTACATTCCAAAAATCTTTCAGCATGGCTATACTGACTAGGATTATGGGGAATTATAGTTCAGCAATATCTAGAGGTTCCTCACTCATGGTCTGAAAGAAATAACTCAAGTCATTTTATGGCAGGGATCTTCAACTTGGCAACTTTAAGACTTGTGGACCTCAGCTCCCAAAATTCCCCAGCCAGCATGGGGAGGTCCACCAATTTGGAGACCCCTGTTTTAAGGCAAGATAACAAGGTCTTTGGGTAGCGAGGGGGGGGGGCACATTTGTTGCACTTACCAAAGAGGCCAAGTTAGCATTTTCTCTGTCCTAGATATCTTGATATATATTGGATCAGGTTGCACATGACAAATAGTTTGCTTGAAATAATTATGTTCTTTCACTTTTTTACTGTAGTTCCTAAAGCCTGGAAATGCCCTCATGTCCATCATCTTTTCAAGAATGAGAAACTATGAATTGGGATCTAGATCCAAGCCTGTAGTTTATCAAGGATTGCCAACAATCTGTGCTCTAAAGGAATACAGTTGTACCTAGTACAAAGTAAGTATACTGTTGTGAGTAGCATTGTTACTTTTGAAACTATGAATTTTCCTGGCAACTTATACATAACACACCATACAAAATCAGTTCTCGCTGTTTGTCACCCATATGTATTTTTGCAGATACTCTTTATTTCAAAGAGAGTTTCTTGCTCTACAATTTTACAATCCTCCAGGACAAAACATACATTACACATTTTTACTGTAATGATATTTTATATTAAAAACAACTCCAGCTCTGTCTTTGGTGTTTTCCTCCTAGCAAAGCAAACTTGGGACATTTACAAATACAGTAAAAGTATCCATTCTTTAGGTAAAGATTAAAAGCTCACAATTTAGGTTTCAGATTGTTCCCTATTGCCCCCTAATAGTCCATTTTAGTTTATTTTATAATTTTGGGTAATGGGCTGAAAAACAAAGTAGCAAGTATATTGTTCTAAAATCTCTATATATTTATGAACACATAAAATTGTTTCTAGACCAAATAAATAAATAAATATGTAAAGCTTTGTGCAGCACTCCATTAAGTATATACATTGAGCAAGCGCTGCTTACCATAAATATATTTTTCTATGCTTACATTGGCCAAATTAGACATACATAAATATTCATTTGATGATTGAACTGTTATTTCAGATAAAAACCAGACTATGGTGAATTTGGGACACAAAACTTTTAAAACTCTGAGGATTTTAAGCGCAGACTATATTTGAGTTTTATTCTGAATTTTACCTTTTGGAGGCGCAAAACACTTTTTGGGAAGAAAAAAGAAAAAAAGAAAAAAAGCATTACAATTAGTTGTGTCTGTGAGTTCCTTTGTTTTTACACAAAGCATTACGCAAAAGCCTGCAAGGAGAAAAAAGGAATAGGTTTCCATCCCCCTCCTCCTTAAAGTTCAAAGCCTTATAATAGTTTTTCCATGTAAATAGCGAGACAGGTTTTAACAATGAAAAAACGTATATATTCACAAATGCAATTAATTCTGGATGAAGTGATTGGATTTCCTCAAACAACACAAAACTTTTAAACTTTTTTTTTGGGCTTGGTAAATATGTAAATATTTAGTAATGAGAATAAACAGAGTTTTGGTATTTTTCCACTTTTGCCATATACCTGGCATGCCAGCTTTAATAACATGTGACAGTTTATTTTAAATATAAAGTTTACTTCTAAAGTCCTCATCTAGTTAGAAAGCTTCCCATCAGCAAAGTCGGTCCTAATCAAAGGAGGGTAATTGAAAACAAACAATTGTTTGACTATTGAAATCCAGAGAAGGGGTTAGAGTGGGCTTTTTTTTTTTTTTTGGTCAACTAACTTTTTAGACATAATTAAAGAAAACAAACAAACCAGTTCAATGCTGCTCAGAATCCTTGCAAAAAGGAATTCTACTAAAATCTCAAAGTTCAACACTTTTAAGATGTTTTACTTGGAAAGCAGTATGGAAGGAAGAAAACAAGGCAGGGAAAGCTTGATGGATCACAACCACCTATGCTGCTAATTTGCTAATGGAGATGCTGCATATGCAAGAACTGCAGAACTGGGGATTCTCCAAAACCTGATGGTTTCCACTCAGCTGACTGTATACAAATCCTGTTGAATTCTGCAGGGCTACCTTTTGCTAAAACGATCATGCCCATATAGTGCACATTTCTGAGAATACATGAAAGCACTGTTTGTTAACTTTGCAGAGAATTCTTTCTCTTTTGTATAGGTTATACTTGCAAGGTAGGGTTTTTGAAGGAGCTCTTCTTTAGCATCCATCCATCCATCCAGATTCCCCCCACCCACCCTTTCCCCCTTCCTATAATTGCCCAAAGTTTTAGGCAGCTTCCCCAGTTTCCTCCTTGCACCCCTTTCCAAGAAACCCATCCAGTCAGAGAGGTTACCCCCAACGTCAAAGAGCTGAGTGCTGAGTCACCCGTTGTGAAAGAGGACTAGAAAAACTTTTGCTGAGTAATGAATTAGCGTTGGATCCCACAGATATGAGGCATACAACTAGCGGAAGAGAAGAACAATCTTGGGTTGAATGAGAGAGAAGTGGGTACAAAATGCTGGGTGTGTGTATGTTGTGTTATTTTGTTTTGTTCTGCCTGGAGGGAGGGGAGGTCACCTCTTGCTCCCAATATTCCTGCAGTCAGAAACTAGGGGCACACCCTCCTTTCCACAGGATGGGGGAGTGGAGTTTAGTCACCTGCCAATGACTAAAGGCCACTCAGTTTATGGGAATGGGGCAAGCCCTTGAAGCAACCCACCAACAAGCAATTGTGCTTTGTTTCCTACACAAGGGCAGTGGGGCATCAGGAGGAAGCCCAGTGCCTGGCACTCAGACTGGCATGTGATGGAAAAGCCTTTCACAGTCGAGGCCAAAGGTCTGGTCCAAGGGAGTCATGGACAGGCAACTCTAAGGCAAAGACTGGGAAGTGCATGGGAGGGAGGTGAAAGAAATGGAGAAGAAGAATGGGTCAGTTTCTTTCCTCTATCCCCACCCCTTTTCCCCTTTCACCCCCCCTTTCCAAATCTGGCATTTCAGTTTGAGACAGGGTGGGTTCACACACTCACCTCGCCTTGTCTCTTTGTAGGGGAGAGGAGGCAATCTGCAGGACCTCTCCTCCCCCTATGCCCCCCACATACACTCCCCCCCTCAGGGACTGGGCTTAACTTTGTGGTTAAAGCTTTACACGTCAGAAAAGGGGGGGGGGTTAGAAGAAAGGTTGCACGAATTGTCTTCTCCAAATTAAAACTTACACATGCTTACACACACGCACACATCCACATTTCAAAAAAAAAATAAAAAAAAAATCCCACAACCAAACCCCAGTGAGTGGGATTGGCAAATGGGATTATTAATCCTGGCCCAGAATAAAGGAAGCAGCAGACTCCATGCAGACCCCGTTGGCGAAAGGAAGCATCCAGTCACACACCTACCTTCAAGGGCCGCATCGGACTGGGGCTTTAACCAGATGGCGTGGAGAGCAGGTAGGAGCCTGTGGTCCCTTTCTTTAAACCCCATCCAGAAGGGCAATTTGCCCACTCTCTCCTCACTCAGAAACTAAAGGAAGACCTTGCAATACATTGGATTTTCCAATATTTGCTAGAAATTCCCCCCCCACCTGTATTATTATTTTTTTTTTTAAAAAAGAAATGCCACTAGCAAAACTTGGCAGCATCCAGGGATCTAGAGAACAGGGTGGGGAGGAGTATGGTGGGCTGGCATTTCCTCTGGATAGTTTTTAGAAAAACAACCCAAGCAAAGTCCCTTCCTTCTTTCCTTTCAGAAGAGTCCCACTGCTAGGACTTTTACCTTTCTCCTGTACCCCTCCCCTCTCCAAAGTTTGAAGAGCTGGAAGTGGGGCACCTCAGGCTGAGCAGCAAGCAGGAGGGGGGAGAGAAAATGAATGGGTGCTTGTAGACAATGGTATCAAATATATTCTTGAAAGCAACCTGGTTCTGTTTAACACTTTAAGTTTTTAAAAAGGCAGCTACTTTAAGAAGCTTGTGCCTTTCTTGTTCTTTCTCTTTTTTCCTTCCTTTTTCCCTTTTTCCTTCTTTTCCCCTTTTTCTTTCTTTCTTTCTTTCTTTCTTTCTTTCTTTCTTTCTTTCTTTCTTTCTTTCTTTCTTTCTTTCTTTCTTTCTTTCTTTCTTTCTTTCTCCTACATTCCTGGACACCAATCAAAGAACAAATCACAGGAGGTGGAAGAGGAGAGAGAGAATGTGAGAGTGAGAGAGTGTGTGTGTGTGTGTGTGTGAGAGAGAGAGAGAGAGAGAGAGAGAGTGCGTGGTGAAAACTTTGCATACATACACAACAAAGTACAGACAGCTATTCCCACCTAACACCCAGCAAACAAAAACCAAAACAAATAGGGAAGGGGGGAAAAGAAGGAAGGAAGAAAGGAAGGAAGGAAGGAAGGAAGGAAGGAACGGAACCCGGGGCAGAGCCAGCTAGAGAGAAAGGGAAATTTTCACTCCGCGCTGGGATCTGCAGCGATCATTCGGAGCACAACCGTTGGTCTGCTAACCCGCCGTGTCGCCCCCAGCCCACACTCTGAGTCTACTATGCTATGTGTTGCTGGGGAGGGTTCAGGTAAGGGCTCGCATCTCGCTCCGTTTTGAGAAGGGGGGTGGGGTGGGGGTCTTGCTGTGCGCCTTGTCTTTTTTTCTCCCCCAACCGCTGCTGATTCTAATTTGATTTGATTAAAACGTCTGTCTGGCTTTGGGACTGATTTAAGACTTTCCCTCTACCCCCCTTCTCTCTTTTTCATGTATGTTTGTGATTACTGAAAGGGGGGGGGGTGTTAGAGAGGAGAAGGCAGTTTAGCAAGGGAATATCATCCCAAATTGACAGAGGAAAATCAAAGTCACCAACATTTTAGACAACAGCTAAAAAGGGTCCCCCTCCCCTCCATGGATTGAGTGAAATGCTTTCCCAAAAGAGAAAGAAAGTTTGGTCACTAAAATAAAAAGATAGTTTATTCGTTTGTTTTTTTTTAAACAAAGAACGGGACAGGGGGAAGAAAAGCCACCCCGAAACACTTTTTTCCCCCCAAAACGAGGAAATGTCCTTCTCTGGGAGGGAATGGAAATGGGGGGGGGGGAGATCGCAACTTTAGGAAGTGTCTGAATCTTTCTGAGTGCTTTCTGAGAGTGGTTTGGAGTGTTGCTTTTGTTACTTAGTAAAGTTTTAACATTTTAACCCGGTTAGCAAAACTTTTCTCACTGCTACTTTGAGAAGATTGAAAAGCTGGAAGAGGGGAGATTACTTAGAAGGAGAGTTCTTTTTCCTGCAGGGTGTAATTTTTATAAGCAATGGGGTTTTTGTGTTTTGCAGACAATACCCCAGGCTTTCTGGGAGAGGGCTTGTGTTTAAATAAAATAGAAATGTAAAAAGAAACCTTACAAGGTCAAAAGCAGTTTGTTTCCCCAACTGGCTCTTTTGACAATCTAATCATGACATTTAGCAACAGGCAACTGTTTTGCTCCCCAGAGAATTAGTTATTTAAAAAGAAAGAGCAAACGATTTTTTTTGTTTTTGTTTTTAAAAAGGAGACAAAACAAAAGTCTTTGGATTTTTTTTTTTTTTTTCATTCTGAATGTTGGAAAAGGCTGAGTAAGGAAACTGAAGGGGAAGATGCCGGAAAACGTGAGGCCGGGAGGCCAGCTTTGATTCATTCCTCCAGGAGCAGTCAGGCAAACCCAGAGCGTACGTAATGAAGGAGAGACCCAACTCTTACAGCTAGGTGTAGT